GCCAAAAGAAGAGACTAGGTCTCAGTAAAACTATAGTGTTCTAGAATCATCTTAGCTAGCGACCTTGTATCTGCGTAGCTCTGTAGAGGACGCTTAGGGCTATCTAACCATGTAATTGAAGTTAAAGTTTCGTTTTAGCTTCGATGGCTGTGGATCTTTTTCACCTGTCCGACACCTGAAAATTCGATTTTCTGCTATAGTGGTTTTTCAAACAGCCCTAATCCAATTTCCAGCAAAATGAGACTATTAGAAATTTGATTGTATGTTATTCTCAGATTAACAATTAAATAATAATTCATATAAACTAAAGTAATAATAAAAAAAAAATCACCTAAACTATTAGAAAGATAGCTCAATATTTTACATTGAGCTTCATATAGATTTTGACGAGCACACTTTTACCTACAAAATAAGATGTCTTCCAGCTAGAGGTCTGCGAGACGGTCTCGGTCCCGTGGGACTTTTTATGGGACCAGAACCTAGAGATCTGCGGGACGGTACCGGTCCCACGCGGTTTTTAACAGGACCGAGACCAGGTTTTTTTAAAATAGCCTTGTATAGAGTATAAAAATTTCTTAGTGGCGGTGCCTGTTTGTATGTAGGCACTAGTTCTGCGAGAAAAAACTCACACAAAATTCTAAAAATTCTCAATTAATACCACTCACGCATGCTGTCCCGCGCCCCGCATTACAACGTGCTGGCTTTCTAACTACCTGCATTGCTTTGAAAAAATATTTACGGGACCATGGGACTGGGACCAAAAATGAGTTCTTTCCACGGAACCAGGACCAAAAAAGTTTGGTCCCGCAGGCCTCTACTTCCACCTTTTTACGATCTTTTATTTAAATTTTATAAATGGAATAAAACGACAAAAACGGTAACGCATAGACATTTAGTTGAATGGCTTCGCATCGCATTTGTAACTCTCTTTTTCTGTCTGAATACAGACACAAAAAATGCGAACTTATTTTTGTATTGCAAAGTAAACTCCCTGTTACCAGTCTAAATGTTGTGCAACGATTGAAGTTATGCAGTTGAAAAGCATAACAATACGTCAAAAACTGTTACGTATTACAATGTCAAAACTAATGACTTATCTCTTGAAAATTAACGTCATGAAAACTATACTTGACTTGATGTGTACTTTTATTATACAATCTGGCAGATGTCAAGTCTGATTGTCGCTCTACTTCACTACTAACCCTACTCTACGCTAACGATCATTTCTCTTATTCGTCTTCTGCCTATTCTTATTCTTTGCTTTCACGGCTATAGTGGTGTCTGTCTTTTTCGTTTATAAACAGAGAAAAAACGATGTACTTTTCTTCTATTAGAAAGAACAATGCTTTTCGCTTTTTGAACAATAAACTATATTTGCCTTTTTTGACTAACGTATCTCTCTTTTGTATGTGCCGTTCACTTCTTGTGCTATTTTCTTTTATAACGTTACTACTTATTTTTGTTCTATCTATTATAATTGTTACTATAATGATGGTTGTTTCCTGCTAGCCGTCAGGAGTCACTTTCTACGTCTTTTCATATAGAAAGTGGCTCCTGACGGCTACTGGGAAACAACCTATAATGATTACGACTATGAACATCGATAATGCGCGCTCTGGTATTCGCTAGTGTTTGTCTTGTTTTCTTTCCAATCAATATAGTTTAAATAACTTCATTGATGCATTCGGATATATGAAAAATTTTTAAGAAAAAGTAAAGTTGGTATTTTACCTGAATTGTTGCCAGATAAGAGCTGCTCTGGCTGCTTGGCATATATATATATATATATATATATATATATATATCAAAATTATCTACACACTATCATACCATGAAAAAGCCTTCTATCAAAATCATTGGTAGAAAATAAAAAGATTTATTTTTTAAACTATCAAATTCATTGCATTGCGTGAATCGAAGCTCGGCAGTCGATCTTCAAAGTTGTGAGATAAATGTCTTGTTTTTTCTTCGGTGCATAGTATTATGATCTCATTCAAATAACTTTATTCCAATGGAATGTGCAGGTTAAATTTCGAAAATATGATTATAGAAAATGTGCTTATAAAACAAACACGTAAAACATCCAATATAAAAGAAGATGCATATCACTGTGACAAATGTATGACTAGAAACACACAGAACATTGCACAATATTTAATTCACATAAAAAATGGTGACTAGTTTGTATTCAGGGTACCCTCTTTCCCCATTTTCGACAAAAAAATCGAAAATTTTTCTCTTGAAATTATATACTAAAACCGTGCTCTTTCATAGGGATACAAAATTAGAACAGATAGGAATTGTTTTGAGCTTCATTTGGTTTGTACAACAAAAGCCCTGCTTGGTGTCCTTCCGACGAGATAGTAAAGTTTTCGAAAAGGAACGATTAAGAGGAAATTAAGAGAAAACTCCGTTTTCAATAACCTTATGCTAGTAAATAGAGGCGTGTTCTAGTTAAAACCTTAAACAAATTTGTGACCATGGTACTTCTTTCAAGAGTTATGAATTATTTTTGTTTCGTCGGGAAAACAGATCGGCCAACAATCTTATCAAATCATTACAATGATGGAAAAACTGTTATTTACATAGAGAATCAAGTACATCGCCGAAACAAACAAATTAAATAACTTATAGAAGCGACGAAAGAGAAGATAGTTTCTGTCCATTAGGAAAAATATGATAATAGGACAACATATGATTAGCGGTAAATTCCCGTTTCGTCGAAAGCGTAATTGATATTCCTGTTTCGTCGAAAAATAAAACTAGAAATAGAATAAAGATTATTCTAATTAATTAGGTTTTTTTAAACAGAGTAATTAAAAAAACTGTTGAATTATTCCAAATGTTTCTACTGAAAAAGTACATTTGTACATTATTAGAGAAAGAAACAACAGGTAAATAAATCAAAATCAAAATTTTTTTATACCAATTAATCGCATCACTTTTTCAAGATATTCTTCCAGTATTAATGTTTGTTGTTTATACCGATTTTCTAACTCGTGTAATCGTGCATTTCGAGTCACAAATAATTTTTTTCTTGGTGGTGCTATACCAGTGGCTGTTTTTTCCGGAAAGAAATTTGTTTTTTACGTTTACTTTTAACAATAGATAACATGAAATACAGTGCAAGATATACCATAGAAATCATTTACATCAATAGATAGCGATTAATTTTCGTTTCTAACTACATGTACTTCATTTAGAATAATTCAGCATTCTTTTAATTAGTCTGCTTGAAAAAACCCAATTAATTAGAATAATCTATATTCTACTTCTAGTTTTATTTTTCGACGAAACAGGAATATCAATTAAGCTTTCGACGAAACGGGAACCACCCTGATTAACCATTACAAAAGAAAAATGAATTATTGGGAAAACTTGTTTTCTTTAAAAACAAGGAAAATTCATTAGAATATTTTCTAGAGAGGCTGAAACGCTGATTCTTTCGATGATGTTAATCGAGTATTAGAGCAATCATAGAAAGAAATGTCAGCTCAAAGTTCGCTGTTTTTATCGAGATACAAAAATTTTAGTGTTTTTGTATCTGTTTTCCAGCGACACAAAAAAAGTCATAACTCTTGAAGAAAGTACCTTAGACACAAATCCTTTTACAGTTTTAAGTAGAACACTTACCTCTATCAACTGGCATAAGATCATTGAAAACGGAGTTTGACAGTTGCGAACGTTCCTTCATGAGTTCTATAAGTAATTGACCATCGCAAATGGAATGGACATGTTCAGAACCCTGTGCATATGTCAAACGATAAAAGAAGCTTTCGAGCTAACGGATGCTTTTTTGAAGTTTTCTGGTTTACGTTATGTATAATTTCGAAAATGAAACAAATCCACAAGTAGACGAAGAAAAACGCTTAATCAATCAATACATCCAATTTTAGATTGCTATTATAACAAAACGAGGAGAACTACTGTTCGCAAAGCCCGAAACAGAAAACAAAATTGACGAAAAATCAACTGGAATCTCGGAAGTTCGTTTTTCGGATTTTCTAGAGTCTTGGTTTTCCAAAGAGTTTATTTTCAGGAATTTAAATAGAATTTTCATCTGCATCGTTTCTGACACAAAATTCTTTCAACTGCTCAAACCTTCAGATTTGTTCTAGCTATCATAGTTCGAGAGAAAATGAAAAATAAAAAGGTACTCAAACTTTCATTCATCACTTTAAATTGCCTGATAATGGTGCGACACTACACCAAAGCTTGCAGTAAAATGTTCAAAATTCTTCGTATTTTAATCTTGGTATTATCGTTTTGTAAAAAAATCTATTACATAAAGATAATCTGGAAAAATATATGTTATCTGTAGAAAGCTCGTTTTTTTTCGTTTGACATGTGTCGCAAAAGGTTCTAAACATGTCCACTAGAATTGCGATGGTTGATCACCCTATAGAACTCCTCTTATTTCATCATAATTGTTAGTTTTCTATAACATTTTAGAACATTGACTTGTTTTGTGTTGTTCTCAAAATATTTCTTTTTAGTATCGAATTTCAGTTCGGTACTGGACGATCCCTCGAAAACCTCATCCGATCGGGCTAACAATTTCATCAGAGGCACCTAAAAAGAGTTCCCAGATGGCACCTTTTTATCTCTTTTTCCTTCTTAGTTACAGGGTTACAAAAATTGAAAAACTCGGGTTTTTAGTAGGTTTTCAGTTTCAGTAGTTTCGCTATAACTCAGGAAGGAAAAGAGATAAAAAAGTGCCGCCTGGGAAATGTTTTTAGGTGCCTCTGATGAAAATTTTAGCCCGATTGGATGAGGTTTTCGAGAGATCGCAAAGTACCTAACGGACAAACCGAATTTTCTAGAGATCTCGTGAAGCACGATGGCTGGAGAGTTGTGACTAAAGCGAAAAGAAGCAGAAAAAAGTTTCCAACCTATTCTGAAAATAATAAGTCTTGATCACGTTTTGTTTCGTTTTGACAGCATTTCTACGAAGTCCCCTAAAAGAGAGGAGGGGTACTCTTAAGAGCGGATGGGTAGCCTTAAGAGCGAATAGGGCGATATTTTGGTCTATTAAATAATAAACATCGACTAGACAACACATTATCAACTTTCGCAAATTCACTGTTTGGCAACTCAATATGAGACGTTGATATGCGATCAGTCAAAATCTAAATATAATCAAAAACTTAGATGTAAAGTTTCTCGAATTAGTCTAATACACTTACTTTAATACTTTCTGGATATTGTTCAGCTGGCAAATGAAGAATTGTTCCATTGACAAAAATACAATTGGCTGCCGGATCATTTGGTAATGTGATGGTTTTGTATTCTTTATATTCACTCATTTCTTCCATTTGCTTCAATAAACAGATATATAAATACATACATATGATTTCATCATTTTTTTGTATCAAATAGCACTCTTACTCGTAATAAATCTTTTGCTACATCTGAATCGCCCACAGCAATCATATCAGGACCAGCCATAGATATAAAATTTTTCAAATGGCAACCTTTACGAACCTTCAATAACACTAACAGATGTACAAGTAACAGTCATTCAAAAAGCCAATGCATACCCTCAATAAGGCAGTAGGATATTCAGGGAATGTTGATGCAACGGCTTTTGCACCAGCTAAATTTGTTCGTTTAGATAAACCAACAAAAAATTCACGACCTAAACATACAAAAATAAGGATGATGAATTCACCATGAGAAATATATACGTAAAATCACTAATTACCTGTGAACAATACATCACCACCATCAATTGTGGCCGCCTGATCTTTGATATCAACAATTGTTAAACCCTCTTTTCTCAGTGTTGTACGAATAATATCCACCTAAAATATTCAAAATCATGAGTATTGAACATAAAATATATGTATCATCATTCTACCTCTTTCAATCGGCTAGCGAGTCCCGGTCGACATATCAATGCTGTTCCATCGCAAATCATTGCTGTATCTTCAACAAAAACACCTTCTGGCAAACTTTCATCAGCTGCTAATTCAATAACATCGATGCCTAGTTTTCTAAAATATAAAGAAGGATTAGAGCATTAATGTTCTAAAAATCTGAAAATAAATTTTACCTTAAAGTTGAAATATACTCTTGATGATGTCTCCGTGCTCGATCAATATCAATTAATTCTCGTATCTCTCGTTGACATAGAGCAGCATCTTTCAAACTAGATGGAACACGTGAAACGATAGCTGATGTATATTTAAAGTCAAATGGTTTCGACATTGAATGAGAGTGGAAGTGTGTGTATGTATGAGAGAAAAACTATTGATCTAAAAATAAAATCGAAAGTACGGTTGATCAGTTCAAAATAGAGCAAAACAAACAGATGCAGTTTTGATTAATCATCATCCATAGACACTTCTAATAGTTAATCATGACTATTAAGTTTTTATTTATCACTATTTGATCAAAATATATTTTTCCAGGAGACAAACAAATCGTTCATGATTCATTTGATAATCATTTCAAACTTTTAGCATAGCATAACGATAGTAGAATACAACTACCATGTTAATTCAAGTTCGAATTTAAATGTACATTTAAACAGAAATAGATTATTGATCGAATATATCATTGCTTAATTTTCAATGGTCCATTGTTGTCTCAGTAAGACGAATCGAATAATCAGCTAGACATTAAAATTGTTTTCAATTGTAATGAACAAAAGTAAATAAGGTTTTTTTATTATTATATTTAAATTTGGAACAAACATGTGATTGTTTTGGATAGAAAACATTGACAAATATTCTAAATACGTTAATGTTGATAATACGGACATTATTGTATTCATTTCAAATTAACCATAGATTTTTAACGATAAGAGCGAATTAAATAAAGACGAGAAGAAATCACTTTGATTCATAACAATTGTTCTCTAAATCATCGCAATTTTTTCGATATAAATGGAAACAAGTAACGTTTGTTTTCGATTCATCCAGTCACTTGATGTTTAATCACAATGATCGTCTTTCTTACAAGTAGTTAACAATCATCGACAAAATAGGTCCAGTCTGCATTTCACACTACCAGAATCTCAGAAAACAGTAGAAATTAAACAAATTTTCTTGACATTCCTTGAGATCCTCATGTGACGGATACCATGCGCAGGCTTCATTTTACACTAGATTCAACTAAAAAATTGATAGAAACCTGGAAGATTTTTTGCTGGAGACCTCCTAGATGTCTGTGTGAGGATCGTCACTTTCTTCACGTGAAATTACCTCTGATCCATAAGTTCTAGCGAGCTAGACTGTCTCTCTATAGTTACTCTATTTTCGAATTTCTTGCGTGAATAGACAGACAAACATTTTATATTTTATCACTCTGATTAACGTCAAGGGAATAATGATCAACTTGTATAAATTGATTAAAACGTATTAACATTACTAAATAGTCGAATAAACGATAAACGCGAAAATAATCAACAAAACTCCAATACTGGAACAATATTATTATAACTTTATTATCAACGTATATAACTAATGACATACAATAATTGTGATCTAAAAAGAATGAAATAAAACAAACCAGATCAGCAAAAGGTTTAACGCATAGTGAAGATGTCAAACACGTTGTATTTGAGACAAACATTATAATTTTTTTCGTCAAAATAAGACAAACTTTAAGGTTGCTGAAATGTTTTATTCATAGAAAATATGTTTCTCTTTGTTGTGAAATATTCGACTTTGGATATAGATTAAAATCTACGTCTAACACTTGAAATTTCTCTTTCTAGACAACCGACGACAAAATACGATTGATCGTTGACAGTCTATACAGCAAAAATACTAAGCTGCACAATTTTCAAAACAGACATGAATCATGCCTTGTTCTTAGTTTTACTACTAGTAGCTGAAATCCAACGTGTTTTAGACTTGAGAAAAAACATACTTGCTAATGAAGTTTCTTTAATATAACAACATGAAAAAAATTAGTTAATAAAAGAGTTTTATGTTTGAGGCGGGGTTTTTTGTTCAGTTTTTGGAGTTGATGGTGATGCGGCTGTTCTTTGTTGTTGTAAATGCTGAATAATTCTTGTTATAACAGCGGGTGATGTAGCCGCGCTATTTTCATTTCTTACTCCTCCACTTGATCCTAATGTATTGAGTAAATATTGCTGGAGTATTTGTTGACGACTTATGGTAGATGCATTAGACGACATAGGTGTGTGTTGTGCTGGAGTTTGTGATGATGGGAGTTGTAAAATGATATTTGGTTGAGATGTTTTTGTGGTAAAACCCAACGTTGTTGTTCCAGTACTTGTAGTTGCCTGTGGATCACTTGGTTGAGGTTGTTTTATTGAATGAGCCGGAACAAAAACAGCCGGATGTGTGTGTGCAACAGGCTGTTGTTGCTGCTGCTGCTGTTGTTGTTGCACTTGATTTGTGTTTCCACTTGTTACTTTAACAATTCGATAACTACGACCACCTTGTGATGTGACAACTTGAGGAAATGTTGGAGACAAACGTTGAGGTTGTTGTTGTGTTGTTGTTTGATAAGTAGCAGAAGGCGTTGGAGGACTGGATGCTATTTTCTGTCCACTCGTTGTAATTATTTGACGAATATTTGATTTTTGCTGCGGATGTTGAATATCGGCACGAACAGGAGGTGCCAATAGTTTACCTAAAAGAATAAAATGTCAGATTCGAATGTGGTGAAAAGTGTTTTCCACTATCACTTACTTTTTTCATGCACACTTATATTATGAACAGGATTTGTTGAAATAATCGATGATGATGGCGATGAGGAGGAGGAGGAAGAGGAAGAGGATACTGCAGGCGGTGCTGTTGCTTGTCGTACTACCGGTTGCTGTGTCATGGATTTATTCGCGTGTCTAATCAAATATTCAATTTGAGCTTGAGTCAATGTTCGGTTTTGTGAAGTGGCTAATTGATTACGAACTGGCTGTTGTTGAGTAGGACGTAGATTCGTGGCTACGGTTCTCGCTTGTTGTTGTTGTTGTTGCTGCTGCTGCTGTTGTTGTTGTCTTAACTGTTGTGTTCTTATTTCTAAACTTGTGATTGGCTGTTGTTGCTGTTGCTGTTGTTGGGGTTGCACGGCGGGAATTGTTCGAATTTGACGATAATCCAGAGGAATAACAGATGTGAATTTATTTGACGATGATGATGAACCTGGTGTAAATACTTGAACAAGAGAATTTGGAGTGGAAGAAGCAGCAACAATTGTCGGTGCAGTTATTTGTGAAAAACTGCTACCGTTACCACTACTTGTTGGTAGTGTTGGTTTTAGACTATTCGACGATATTGGACGTTGAAGAGCTGTTACTGACCCTTGCGATTGTTGTTTTACTTCGACAATAGCTGGTGTCGTGGACGTAGCCGTTTCAACATGATATTGATTTAATGATGAATACATTTTTGATGGTGATGATAATTCACGACTTTGTGCAGATACAGTGACGGCTGTTGTTGATGTTTCAATAGTTGGTTGTTTCAAACTTTCTTCACGATCAGTTCGTTTAAGGACAATATCTTTGGGATAGACAAGTGGAATATTATTCGTGTGTAAAAGTTGTCCTGTTGTAGTTCTTTGCGTATCCTTTCGAACTTGTTGGGGATGAAACCTGGAGATAAACTATGTATCTTTGAAAAACATTTACGAAAATGAAAGATCGGCTAACTTACCCATTAGATTTTTGTTTATTTAATGTTTCTGCTTCTTTCAAAATTTGTTGACATTTTTTCGAGTACAATTGTAATATTTGTTGGAAATTATCATATTGAAATAACTGATTTGTACGAATCAATTGAGCACCCGTCTCGGGTACCACTTTCATATTGCCTTTTAGTTGATATTTTTTCATTTTATTAAGATCATACAAAATTCGTCCATTTTCACGTGGTTTTAATATCGTTTCGTAACGTTGTTTACATTGTTTTGCTGTACGAGTACGCGTACGACTAATAAAAAACAAATTGAACAAATATTAGGCATCATTACTATTATTATGTTTTTGTTTATCTATAGCTTACCTATATCGATTCAAAATTTCACTAACATATGTCCAATTAATTTCATTAGTTAACGGTTGTTGTTGTATCGTTTTCAATAGAATATAATCTTCGGATATTAACCAATCTGTATTGTCAATTGATAATAAATCTTGAATATTACATTGAGGAATCGGAGTAGGAGAAATTGTTTCAACAACGCGCGATACAGCAGGAATAGTAGATGTTTGTGGAGTTTCTTCAACTTCCATTGGAGTAGTCAAATCATAATCAAAAAATAAATTTGAATCAGTAATATCTTCATTTATTCCCGACCATATTTGATAGGGTTCTCCATTCTGTGTCATCCATATTTTTGGTTCAATATCTCGTTCATAAAACATTTCATCTTCAAAATCAACATCTATTTCTTCCTCTTGTTCTTTTAAATGCCAATCATCGATGTTGTTGATTGATGATAATTCTTCTCGTTCTAACTGTCTCATTGCATAAAATTCAATTCCAAGATGTTTGTCTGGTTCAATATCTTTAAGTAAAAATAAAAATTAAATAGCATAAATAATACCGTACTTGACTCTTACCATCATCTTCTATTACATCTGTTTCATCATTTTCTGTTGATTCCAATAATTGTTCAAATTGCATCGGTGTTAATTTTGTCTGACTTCCAAATAATTGATAAATATTTCTCGTCTCTTCAATTGTATTTTCACTAATAAATCGATATAAATGTACGTTACCTCTCAACATGTCACATATATTTTTATTATTTGTCGAATTCCATTCTTGATCATAGAAAATTACCGCATCAATACCACCCAATGTCGATACGAGTTTTTTACACCGTGTTGTGGTTAATAAACAACAAAATATTCTTGAATTTGAATAGAATTTTTTGATTGAATGTGTATAAGAATAATTTTTTGATGATAAAAATTGTTTAAAAGTATGTAACATATCTACCATAGATGTTAATAATAAGCAACGATGTTTTTTTGCTTTTAATTTAAATAACAAACGATCTAATGCAAATAATTTACCAGTGGAGTTAAATGATTGTAGAGGAAAATCGACTAATATTGGATCTAGCTATTAAAGAGTATAAATCAATAGTTAGAAGCTATTTGTAACATAAGTGACTTACTGATTTATTATGTAAATGAACCGTTAATTCTTCGATTAATGGTGTTGAACTTATTGATGATTTCGATAAATTATTTGATAAATAAACGCGTAATGTTAATACATGTAAGAATTCTAGTAGAATTTCAGCATAGATTTGTTTATAAATTTCCATTAATGATTTTGTTAAATGACTAGTAGGATAAATGGATTTTATTAGTTCAATTAAATCTTCACCATATACTGGTCGATAGGAACAACGTTCATAATTTAGATTTGATAAAAAATTAAAACGATCTAGAGAATTTTGATGATGTTTTGAACAAATATCAGAATAAACTTGATCGGGTACATAAGAGGGATCATCACCGATAAAATCATCTAAATTTACACGTGTACTTTCGTCTAACGTAGTAAATGAATTAGTTGTAGTTGTTATATTATTATTCAAATATTCTTTGACAATTGTGGATGTTAGTGGTATTGGTTTATTGAATAATGTCATATCATTTTGTTGTGTTCCATCTATAAAATATCAATAATACTGCTAAATTTTCAATGTATCAAGAGTGTACTCACCTATGCTATTTTTCAATTGTTGCCTAGTAGGTGTTAATGAATATTTAATTCTTGAACATAAGAATGTATCGTTTAGCCTTTGATCATGCTTAAAAACTAACGGTTTTTTTAATTCAATCTGATAATGCATTAATGGCATATTTAAGTCAATAGATTCTAAAACTAATGGTGAACGTGGTTCTCGTTCTTCTGTTGATAGATGATTACATATTCGTTTTAATTTCAATAACAGAGTTAAAACTGATAAATAATCATGATTATCTGATGGCAACAAATTATTTTCATACAGTAAACGTTGTTCAGGAGATAATTTACATAAAACTAAATGTTCCAATATTTCACCTGGTTCTTCTTGATAGTCATGAAGTTGAATTGTATGATGTTTGGTTTTTCTGATAGAATTCCAGAAACGCATAACTTCATTACATACCAATTTTGCTTTCTCCGTTTTTTCCTTAGACAATGCTAAAACGAAACAAATTCACTCTTTATTTGTCGGGAAAATCTTTCTTTAATTGGTCTCACCTTGCTCTATTCGTTGTTGCTTCTGTTTCAAATATTTTTGAGCTGCTTTTGCTATTTTTTTAGCCATGCTTTGTTTCCATCGTCGTTCTTGATGATAATCTTCAGCTAACCATTGCATTTCATCTAACAAATAATTCCAATGTGTTTTATGTTGTTCATCTTTTGTTACACACATTGGCAAACGACTATCAAACCATAGACCTTTTAACTTTAATTCATTAACACGTTTTAATATTTTACTATCATCTAAATTTTCATTAATACTATTGTTTGACGACGTTGTTAACGTTGTTGCTGTTTGTTTTTGTTTATCTAATTTTTCTTGAATATTTTCAACAAGTTGTTCTTCTGTTTGTCGAATTTGTTCACAATGTTTTATTTGTACATATTCATCGACTAAATGACGATGAGTGTGGATAAGCGCATTTAAATACGAACGAGGTGATGTACAAGGGCGTTTTGATTGATGAACATCTTGATCAGTATTTTCCTCAATGGTACGTTTATTCGTAGTGACAATTGTCATTTTTCAATCTAAAAAACAAACAAAGAAAAGTCTATCTAGATGGAGAGAGAGGATGAAGAGCGATGAGACAACTATGAATCACGCTTACTTCAACAAACTTTTCATACATGCAATAGGGAGTAGTTTGCCACTGCATAGAAACATAGTATGATAAAATAAGCCCTTTTCGAAGTTAATTCACTCGTGCCATTTAACTTGATGCCACATCAGCAATTCACTTTTGTTCTATGGAAAAATTGTAGTGTATTGATCATTCATCCTTTTTTTTTCGAAAGAATATCAGAGTAGCTCAAAATAGTATCAGTAATTCAAAATGTTTATACATAAGCCGAGATAATCTTCCGTTAAGTAAGTGTTCCGTGAATTCGAACGATAAATTAAGCTTCCAAACAAAATGGCGTAACTGACCAATCAAAACGATGAAAATTTTCTTTCTTTTTTTTCCGAACGGATATATCTTTTGTCGACTACACGCAACATCTACTCTAATATTTTTGATATTTATTTTGACGTGAATTCAATTAGCTGAATTAACGTTAGTTAAGATGAAACTTTTCTTGTTGTCCAAGGATAATTTTCCTTTTATACATTCAAAAATGCTGTATAAAATCTACTGCTAGAGGCGTAAGTTTTCTTTAGTCAATATGGATATTTTGTACGGAATATTGAACATAAAGTCGTCAAAATAAGCTCCACCAACGATACAGTGTTATAAATAGCATTTACCGGAAAAAAAATGGATATTTTTCGCTTACGCGTTTTTTTGTCATTACATATCAAGAAATAATTAAGTCAAAAACGTGTAAATGAGTCATACGAGAAAAGTAGCAGCCAATCAACGGTAGTTTCCACAATGTGAAAAGATGCGCCTAACTAGATGCGCAAGTGCCTAATTTTGTTTCAGGACGCTGAAATGTCTAAAAATAAGACGTTTGTGGCTTGAAGAAGAAGTCGACTTCTTCATCAAGTATTATGTTACTCTGAAAAGTATAACGTACGTTTTATCCGTGTTATTCTGCAAGATGAATAATGGTAAATTCATCTGAAATGTCCCATCATTACAGAACTTGCTCCACCTCATTTAAGACCAATTTAGCTGTATAGAGCTCATCAAGTTACGTAAGAAACTGTCCTTTCTGGCTTCACAGCTCGTGCACAATTCAAGAAAAATGACTTTTACTCAGCCAGCAAAATTATCGAATTCGGCGCCACTCTCAATGCAAGTGAATCAGCACTATGATAAATTTTACAACATGTTCTTCCTTTTTTCAGCATTGCAGTGAGACATGAACTATATTCTCTAAAACGTTGAACAATTTTCCGTGTGAGGTTCACAAGATATTCAAATTTTAAAAATGAAGTATGTTTAAGTGTTATCGCAGAAAACCTCTTGAAACTGGATGCTTCCACACCGGTCTGCCCACTTTATACAGAGCATTTTGCGGAGAAAATTCCACTTTCCCCATCGTGTACAGCATCAAAAATAATCTAAAGGTCTCGCTTCCGCTTTTTTGAGAAAACGTGTGGAAAGTGGTTTTCTAGACACCTCAAGTTTTGGATGAGGGT